AGAGAAAGAGCACATGCACGTGAATGTGGGAGGGGCAAAGAGCGAGGGAGAGAAAATGCCAGGCAGACTCCACTGCCAGCACAGAGTCCAAGGCGGGGCTCCAATCCACGAACCAACCATGAGGTCATGACCTGAGCAGAAACCAAGAGCCGGACGCTCAACCAACTGAGTAGTGTGTGGGGCATTCTGTAAGACAACTGGCCATGACTCTTCAAAATGTCAACATGTAATAACAGAAATGTTGAGGAGGTAAAGAGACTAAGGAGGCATTATAACCAAATGCAATGGATAAAAAATAAATAAAAATAGGGGCGCCTGGGTGGCTTAGTTGGTTAGGCGTCCGACTTTCGCTTAGGTCATGATCTCACGGTTCGTGGGTTCGAGCCCCGCGTCGGGCTCTGTGCTGACTGCCAGCTCAGAGCCTGGAGCCTGTTTCAGAGTCTGTCACTCCCTCTCTCTCTGACCCTCCCCTACTCATGCTGTCTCTCTCCTAGAAATAGGTAAAACATTAAAAAAAAATTTTTTTAAATAAATAAATAAAAATAAATAACCATTGAGGGCTGATGGGGGTGGGGGAGAGGGGAAGGGGGGTGATGGGCATGGAGGAGGGCACTTGTGGGGATGAGCACTGGGTGCTATATGGAAACCAACTTGACAATAAACTATTAAAAAAAAAATAACCAAATGCAATGGAGAAATGATGACAGGACCCTGAATATTTTCTTTAAAGGCTGTAAAAGATATTCTTGGGATAACTATGAATATTTGGATAGGGAATGGATATTGAAAATATGACAGAACTATTAACTTTCTATATACCATGACTATACAGGAGCATGTCTTAAGGGATGCATGCTGAAGCATGCATGGGACAACTGTCATGGTATCTCCAGCCTCCTTTCAAGCAGTTTAGCAAAAATATGGAAAAACATTAATTTGCTCAATCTAGGTAGAAAGTATACTGTTCAATATAATATATAACCTATCATTCAGGAAGAAAGGATACTGGTATTTATTATAATATTTAATGAACTTTTCTGTATGTTTGAAAATTTTCAAAAAAAAAACACTGGAGGAAAATTTCATTTGAAAGTCAATGAATCTGATAAGTCGAAGAAGAAGAAGGTGAGAGCTGTATATAGTAGTTTGTAATTCTTCATCGTAATACACAGATATGACACATAAGAATATGTTGTACTATTTAAATTATACTTTATATAGATTATTTGACATTACAGGGGATTATCAGGTCTTACATACTTTAAATTAACTAAAACTTTTCCAGAAAAAAACAATTACTGTTTTAATAAATAGCTCATCTCAGTTTTTATTTATTTAAAAAAAATTTTTTAATGTTTTATTTATTTCTGAAAGAGACAGACAGTGTGAGCAGGGGAGGGTCAGAGAGAGAGGGAGATATAGAATCTGAAGCAGGCTCCAGGCTCTGAGTTAGCTGTCAGCACAGAGCCCGATGCAGGGCTCGAACCCATAAGCCGTGAGATCATGACCTGAGCCAAAGGCGGACGCTTAGCCAACTGAGACACCCAGGTGCCCCTCATCTCAGTTTTTAGAAGTCAAAAAGGTGGGGACACCTGAGTGGCTCAGTCAGTTGAGCATCTGACTTCAGTTCAGGCCACGAACTCGCAGATCATGATTTTGAGACCCGCGTCAAGCTCTGTGCTGACAGCTCAGAGCCTAGAGCCTGCTTCAGATCCTGTGTCTCCTTCTCTCTCTGTTGCTCCCCTGCCTGCACTTTCTCTCTCTCTCTCTCAAAAATAAAGACTTAAATTAAAAAAAAAAAAAAAGAAAAGAAAAAACAGTCAAAAGTTTGACAACTGTATTTCCTATTTGGTTGAATGACATAGGCATCTGTCTTTGTAGTGGCCATAGGTTTTCCAAACCTCATTAATGTGCTTAACTGGAAGGTAGGGGAGACAGGTCAAAATATTTCAGTCACCGGATATTAATAATTATTTATTTATCTTTATGGGTTTGGGGTAAGAGAAAGAGAGAGAGGGAGAGCGAGAGAGAGAATATCCCAAGCAGGCTCCATAGCAACAGATCATGACCTGCGCTGAAACCAAAAGTTGGACATCAACCCACTGAGCCACCCAGGCACCCCACAATTATTTGACCTGGAAAGAAAAATTTATTATCATGATTAACTAAAAGACAATTCAATCCATACTCTAGTGAATCCGGACCAGTAAACTATTATAACAAGCCTTAGGGAACTGCAAGACATGTATGAAAGAGCCACTTGCAACCTGAAAGTATCTAAATATAATTATTTAAGTCATCATGTTATTTTTAAGTTTTGTCCCTGAACCAAGAACAACAACAATCTTTGAAAGAGTCACATTCTTCAATTACAATTGTATGGCAGAGGGGAGGGGGAGGATGAAGAGGAGGATATGAAAAGATGGCCTTTAGAGACTGGCTGACAGTAAACACTGAGGCCTGAAACACAAGTTATGTCCCTGGCTTGATTCCCTTCAAATGACATGAATATTGCCAAAGTTTTATCCTATACTCATCCTTTTATGCCTATTACCTATCTTAAGAAAATCATAGACAAAATGAAAAGCACTGACAGTAAAACCATTACATCTCAAGAATTACTCTCCTGCAACCAATAATTTGTGTTTATACCCATTTTACCCCCCCTTCTGAAAGGGAAAAGTCCCTCCCATTAAAGGCTAATCCAATGACCTATGCTGTTGACATTACTCCTTCAATCTGTTTCGTAATTTTAATCTAGTATCTCCTCATTCCTATATTTTCAGCCCTTTCTTTTCCATTGGTTTCCTTCCTTCAAATAAAGATGTTCAAAGTTATCCTCTGGAAGAAAGGTGAAAAAACAGCCCATGACTCCATATAGCCTTATCCCCCCAGGTATCCTCAACTGTTGCTTCTAGGAATTTTGTGAAAATATAGATTCTGATTCAGTAGGTCTGGGACACTGCCTGAGATTCTGAATTTCTAACATGTTCCCAGGCCCTACAGATGATACTGGTTCAAGGACTACATCTTGAATAGCAATGCCATTACTATCTTCTCTTAAAGTCAAGCTTTCAAAAGAAGCCTCTATTAATCCAATTCCAATCACTTCTCAACCCTTTCTGACTCTTGTGCCTAATAATCCTATTCTAACTATTGATTTGAAGGAAAATCACAGAAGATAGACAGGGTGGCCAATACTAAGAAGTTAAATGGATGCTACATAAGGGTCAAGTAAGATAAAGACAAATCATCCTTTGACTTTGGAAATTTGAACATAGGTCCATTTCACCAGAGCTCTATTGCAAAAGTAAAGGAGGTGATGAGCACAAGTGGTGGCCAAACGGAACAGCTCACTACCTTTCTTAATATCTGCACAACTATTAACAAAAAAGCAGCAACCATTAAAAAAAAAAAAAAAAACTTCATAAGGACAATCAGGGAAATTTGGATGTATGGTGATATTAAATAATCATTTTTATGGTGTGGTATTGTGATTATATTAAGAGATTTGACTTAAAAAAATCAATGTAATACATCACAATAGAAAGAAGGATATAAATAACCTGCATAATCTCAATTAACACAGAAAAGGCATTTGAAAAAATCCAACACACTTTCATGATAAAATCTCTCATAAAATCAGAAGTAAAAGGGACCGTTCTTAATATGATAAATGGCATTTATGGAAAAACCCACAGCTAACACCATATTCAATGGTGAAAGACTAAAAGTTTTCCACTTGAGATCAGGAATAAGACAAGGATGGCTTTTCCACCACTGCTATTCCACACTGTACTGTAAGTTCTAACCAGAGCAATAAGACAAGGGAGCAAATGCAACAAAATGCAAAGGGAAGGAGTAAAACTAGCTCTACTTACAGATGACATGATCCTATGTGTTAAAGAAAATCCTCAAATATTCAAAAGAAAGCTATTAGAGATAACAAATTCAGCGAAGTTGGACAGTATAAGATTGACATAAAAAATTAAAATTCAGCTGTGTTTGTGTACAACAGCAATGAACAATCCAAAAAGGAAATTTAAAAAAAAAACTTTTTAATGGAATCCAAAAGAATAAAATATGTAGGAATAAAATTAATCAAGGAGGTGAAAGACCTGTACACTAAAAACTACAAAACATTGTTGAAAGAAATTAAAGACCTAAATAAAGGGAAAGAGATCCTACATTTATAAGTCAGAAAGCTTAGTGGTATAAAGGTGGCAGTACTCCCTAAATTGATCTATAGATTAAATGCAATCCCCACCAAAATTCCAACTTCATGTTTTGAATTAACGGACAAGCTAATCACAAACACTTCCTAAGATGCTCTCAAATACCTGTATGTTTTAAGTAACTAATGGTAATTATAATAAACAGAACAGTTTAATACATGACATATATACATGACAAGTATTATAAGTATTTTAAAAACATATCTTGTTTACAGAAGAGAGTCAATGTAGACATTTTTGGGAAAAAAGCTTTTACAAAGAATCTAGTCTGTGGACTAGATACTAATATCTCAACCACTACACTCATTCTAAATAGTAAATACCTCCCCCTTTCTGGCATTAAGAACCATACAACACAATTACATTTCTTAAAACAGGAATTCTCCTTTGTTAAATGAGTTCAGAGATTCACAAAACCTCATCACATAACCCAAGTAGCTCCTTAAAAATATGGCCTTTTATTATAGCTTCTTGTTCTTTTATGTTTAATTAATAAGCTTATCTGATAAGTACAACCGAAATGGAATCCATTTCAGGCTCCAATGCCTTCAATTCAATATGCTTTTGAAAGGAAATGATCTCGTGATTCAAGTACAGTGCAGAGAAATTCAGTAAGGGTGGACAGAGATATGTAACATCTTACTACACTTGATCCTGAAGTAACAAATAATAACAGAACTATCAAAATTTTCCAATTTCTATTCCCATGCACCCTAAGGAAATGTTATTTCCTTCACTATAGCAAAAGAAAATAAGTCAACATACCCAACATCAGTAAGAGGTGGTTTGTCTCTTGCTCTCTTATAACAGAGGAAAAGTTCTGGGCTTTTCAGACTTCCATAGTTTAAATTTGCTTGGAGAGCTGATGGAGTGGCTTCAACACAGGTATAACCTTCAGGTACTGTTTCCCCAGCAGATTTGTTAATAACTGCAATGTCTGTAATTGGAGCTTTAGGCCCAGTTGACTTAGTATCTAAACGATTTATTTCCTGATCCAGAAGAGTAGATGTGTCAGTGAGACCTGCCACAACAAAGTAGTCGGTCACTCTTGGCCCTTTGTCTTCTATCATGGCTGCTACTGTATTTCCTACAAAAGGAAAGAAAAGACATTAAAGAAAATACTTTATCTTGACTTATTAAAATTAAAATACTCCTGAGTTAAGAATGATGAACTAGCATACTTCCAAGTTGTATTTATAATCAAACTGTTGTCATTCTATAGGAGACTGTTTTGGTATGTCATTTTTACCTCCTATAAAATACAAGCTTACAACATCAATTCATTTGTAAGACAACTATGATCCTTTAGCGTGCCAAGGCTCTGATAAGAATAATCAAACTGCCAGAGGTGGCCTATGGTGCTTTGTTTTCAGCAAAATGCACTTAATGAACAATATTCAGACCATTTAAGAAATCATTCTCTTTTAGGTTACAGAATTCCTAGAGATGAGCTTCACATTTAAGCAAATGAATTGAGTTCATCATGAAATAAGTCAAGGTCTAAGACAAAAAACAGAGGTAACAATAATAAGTATAATCAAACTAGGGTCTCTTAATCCAGTCAGGAGTCTGACCCTTCTGGTTAAGGAATTTTCTGGAAACACCATGTAAACTAAGGAAGTTTAGGAATCATTAAATATTTCCTATATAAATACCAGAGTATAAAAAACTGTAACCAAAGAAGACAAAATTATATAAAACACACAGTAAGAGACTTAAGTACCCGTACCCAGAGAACATGAACACTGAGTCGAGATTTCTATGATCTCTAAATTTGGCACCTCTACAAATAAAATTAAGCTTCTGCAGTTTAAAATATTTCCATGGATTTTATGTGCTTTTTATTTATTTTTTATTTTTGTGTGCTTTTTAAAAACTTTAAGTATAATTTACACACAAAATATATAAGTGTAAAATTTGGTAAGTTTTCATAAATGTATATATACCTGTGAAACCATTAACAATCAAGATAGTAAACATATCCATCAAAACACCAGATTTTCTTATACCCCATCATTATCCCTCACTCTGTTGGCAATGAATAATCTGCTTTCTGTCACTACAGTTTTTAGAACTGATATACATGGAATCATACAGTATATATTTTTTTCTGACTTTTTTCATAATTATTTTGAGACACATTCATGTTTGTGTTTATATCAATAGTCCATTCCTTTTTATATATTTTTTTAACTTTTTTAAGTGTTCACTCATTTTTGAAAAAGAGAGAAACAGAGAGTAAGCAAGGGAGGATCAGAGAGGGAGGGAAGACACAGAATCCAAGGCAGACTCCAGGCCCTGAGTTGTCAGCACAGAGCCTGACGCGGGGCTCGAACCCACAGACTGTGAGATCATGACCCAAGCCAAACTCAGATACCTAACCGACTTAGCCACCCAGGTGCCTCTAGATTTTTTAAAGATTTTTTAAAGTAATCTCGGGGCACCTGTGTGGCTCAGTCAGTTGAACATCCGACTTCAGCTCATGATCTCAGTTTGTGGGTTCAAGCCCCGCATGGGACTCTGTGCTGACAGCTCAGAGCCTGAAGCCTGCTTCGGATTCTGTGTCTACCTCTCTCTCTCTCTGCCCCTCCCCAACTCATGCTGTGTACTCCCTGTCTCAATAATAAATAAACATTAAAAAATTTTTTTATTTAAAAAAAAGATTTTTTTAAGGTAATCTCTACACCCAAAATCGGGCTCAAACCCACAACCCTGAGATGCAAAGTCACATACTCTACCAACTGAGCCAGCCAGGCACCTTGCATTGCTATTTATAGCTAAGTGGTATTCCACTGTTGAGTATGCCACAATATGTTTATCTACTTACCTTTATTAATATTACTTCTAATCATATTAATACCTTAATTAGTAAGATTATTCTAAGTTTGGAGTTATCACAAGTAAAACTGTCTGGGGCACCTGGGTGGCTCAATCAGTTAAGTGTCCAACTCTTGCTTTCAGTTCAGGTCATGATCTCATGGTTTGTGAATTTGAGACCCACAACATGCTCTGCGCTGACAATGTGGAGCCTGCTTGGAATTCATTCTCTCTCTCTCTCTCTCACTCTCGCTCTCTCTCTCTCTCTTCCCCTCCTTCCCTCCCTCTCCCCCACCCTCTATCTCAAAATAAATAAACTTAAAAAAATAAATAGAGCTGTCATAAACACTCATATATTATGGACAAATGCTTCCATGTATCTTAGGTCAATTCCTAAGAGGAAAGGATTGGATCACCTGCTAGGTATATGTAATTCTAAAATACTGCCAAATAGTTTCCTCGAGTGACTGTACCATTTTATGTTCCTACCATCAGTATATGAGAGTTCCAGTGGTTCTACATCCTCTGTAAAGCTCTATAAGGTCAGTCTTTTTAAACAAAGACACTATAACATGCCTATAGTGAAACTTAACTATAGTTTTAATTTGTATCTTTCTAATGACTAGTGATGTTAACCACCTTTTCATGTGCTTCTTTTCTATCCATGTATTTTCTTCAATGAAATTCCTGTTCAAATCTTTGCTTGTTTTTTATTTGGGTTGTTTGCTCATTCTTAAGTTCTAAAAGTTCTTTACATATTCTGTAGACAAGTCATTTATCAGACATATGCTTACCAAATATTTTCTCCCAATGTATGACCTATCTTTTTACTCTACCAGTGCCCTTAGAAAAGCAGAAGTCTTTATTTTTTATGAAGTCCCATTTACCAATCTAATTCTTCTATGGGTCACACTTGTGGTATGACATTTAAGAAATTGTCTTAAGATTGGGGCGCCTGGGTGGCTTAGTCGGTTAAGCGTCCGACTTTCACTTAGGTCATGATCTCGCAGTTCGTGGGTTCGAGCCCCGCGTCGGGCTCTGTGCTGACTGCCAGCTCAGAGCCTGGAGCCTGTTTCAGTCTGTGACTCCCTCTCTCTCTGACCCTCCCCTGCTCACGCTGTCTCTCTCTCTCTCTCCTAGAAATAAATAAAACATTAAAAAAAAAATTAAAAAAAAAAAAAAGAAATTGTCTAAGATCACAAAGATTTTCCCCCATGTTTTCCTCTAAAGTTTTATAATTTAAAATTTTATATTTAGGTCTATGATCCATTTTGAGTTTTTATATATAGTGTTCAGTATGAATCAAGATTCACTTTGTACATATAGACATCCAATTTTTCCAACACCACTGACTGAAAAAACTAACTTTTCTCCACTGTATTGCCTTTGTGCCTTTATTCAAAAAACAAATACCCAGGGTGCCTGGGTGGCTCAGTCGGTTAAGCATCTGACTCTCTGATTTAGGCTCAGGTCATGACCTCACGGTTCATGGGATGGAACCCCATGTCAGGCTCTGTACTGACAGCACAGAGCCTGCCTGGGATTCTTTCTTTCCCTCTCTCTCCCTGCCCCTCCTCTACTTGCCCTCTCTCTCTCTCTCAAAATAAATAAATAAACTGAAAAAGGAAAAAAAAACCTGCCCAACATGTTTATATTTATCTCCGGATTCTGTGTTCCACTGATCTATTTGTCGGTACTACACAATCTTGATTACTGTAGCTTTTTTTTTTTTTTAAGTTTATTCATTTATTTTGGGAGAGAGAACACAAAGGGCAGAAGGACAGGGAGGAGAGACAGAATCCCAAAGGAGCTCTGTGCTGTCAGTGCAGAGTCTGATGCAGGACTTGAACTCACGAACTGCAAGATCATGACCTGAGCCAAAGAGTCGGATGCTTAACCAACTGAGCCACCCAGGTGCCACAATTACTGTACCTTTATAATAAATCTTGAAATCAGGAAATGTTAGTCTTCAACTCTGTTCTTTTTCAAAACTGTTTTGATTATTCTATTCTAGGTCCTTTGCATTTCAATAAGCATCTTAGAATGAGCTTGTCCATTTCTACCCCAAATAAAAGCCTACTAGAATTTTAACTGCGATTATGTAGAAACTGTACATCAATTAAAGGAGGACTGTCAATACTGAGTCTTCAAACCCATGGACAAGGTTTACCTCTGCATTTACTTAGACTGCTAAAAATTTCTCTCATCAATGTTTTGTAGTTTATAGCATATGTCTTTCACATCAGATTTTGCTTACATAATAATTAATGCTATTATAAATGACATTGTTTCCTTTTTAACTCAATTTCCAATTATTCTTTGCTGCTACATAGAAGTACAACTAATATTTATATCTTGATCTTGTACAAAGCAATCTTTACACAGTTGCTTACAAGTTGTAAAGTTTTGTAGGTACCATCAATTTTCTACATAGATAATAATGTGCCTATGAATAATGACTAATTCTACTTCTTTCTTTCCAATATAGATGTCTTTTCTTTTTCTTGTCATACTGTAGTAGGTAGAACACCCATTACAATGTTCAAGAGAAATGCTGACCAAAGAAGATATACAAGTGACCAATTAGCACATGAAAAAGTACGCAGCATCATTAATCATAGCAGTATTATTCACAATAACTAAATGGTAAAAACAACCCAAATATCCATCAAAAAAATGAATGGATAAACATAATGTAATATATCTATACAATGAAATATTATAAAAAGGAACTGAATTTTGATAAATGCTATAACATGGATGAACCCTGAAAAACCTTAAACTAAATGAAATAAGCCAGACACAGAAGGACAAATATTATATGGTTCTTATATGAGGTACACTGAATAGATAAATTCATAGAGACATAAGTAAAACAGAGGTTACCCAGGCCTAGGAGAGGGGAGCATGGAGAGTTATTGTTGAATGGGTATAGAGTTTAGGTTGGGGATGATGGGAAAGTTTTGGGTATAGTAGTGACAATGGTTACTCAACACTGCCAATGTATTTAATGCCACTGAAATGTATATTTACAAATGGTTAAGATGATAAATGTAATGTATATTCACCACAATAAAAAAAAGAAAGAGAATGCTTCAATAAGCATCTCTTTACATTAATCTGGGCTTCAGTTAAGTTACAGAGTAAATTCCTAAAATCAGCTTTCTAGATCAGAGTATATAACCCATGTATACCTTTTATTATATGCTACCTTCGTCTTGCCTTTAAAAAAAAATACCAATTTACCACGGCAATAGTAATGTATCTATA